GCCATGGTGCACTTTTCTACTATCTCACCACATATACTCCACGAGCTCATCACATATACTCCACGAGCTCACCACATATACTCCACGAGCTCACCATATATACTCCACCAGCTCACCGCATATACTCCAGCTCACCACATATACTCCACGAGTTCACCGCATATACTCCACCAGCTCACCGAATAGACTCCACGAGCTCACCGCATATACTCCACGGGCTCACTGCATATACTCCATGAGCTCACCACATAGACTCCACCAGCTCACCACATAGACTCCACCAGCTCACCACATAAACTCTAGCTCACTGCATATACCCCAGCTCACCGCATAGACTCCACAAGCTCATTTCATATACTCCATGAGCTCACTGCCCATGCTCCAAAGACTCTACCAAAGCCTGCCCCCCTCCAAGCCCCCTGCTGTCCCTGCTCATAGAGAGCCACCATTCTGTGTTTTTCCCCAATAAATCTAGAGTCAGGTTTGTTGCATGGTCTGACTTTGTGGTAGCCCTTGTCTCCGGATTGCCAAGAAACTTTGTGCAGGAAAACCCTTTCAGGGGAGTGCTTACTGAAGGACTTTAAGAAAACATGCATTGTGAGTACAAGGAACTATGGGAAAGAGAAACAAAGTTACAAAGTCTATAAGCAGGCTGTAACTATGTTATCCCCAACAGCTTGGGCAGAGAAAAGAGGTCATCCAGAGGTCACCGTAGCCGCCACGGGGTGAGTCATGAGCCTGCTGCTGTCTTGTGACTGGGTGACAGCACTTGCACAGGTCCCTCGCCAGCTTCTCACTGGGCCACATTTGGATCCCACCACTGACAGAGGCTGTCCCATGTATGCCACACACATGTCTTATGCCCACAGGCCCTCAGACTCAGGTGTCAAACCACAGGGAGGTATGTGCTGTTTCCCTGACTCCAGGGACCTGCCTGTCCTAAAGTGCCTCAGAGAAAAAATATCACAATTCAACTTAGAATTCCTTCTTTTTACTGAGAGTTCTCTTCAGACTTGTGTAGATAGAGACTTCTATAGCACGTCACTCTTGGGCATTTACGTAGAGGGAGATAAAAGTGAAACAGATTGATTACAGCCATGACACCCAGGTCGCTTGACTGAAAGCAATGGAGTTTGCCTCAGCTCAGGAACATTAAGATAAGAGTGTGTTTCGTGGAACAGGGACAGAGGGTGAGCGAAATCCCTAGAGAACTCGGTGTGTCCACGGGGTGACTGCTGGACACGGCACTGATTAAAATGTGTGTTTATGAGAGCCACACGGATCATGCAGTAACAACAGAAGCAGAGCAGGAATTGAACAAAGCCCTTCAAGGACATCAAAGCCCGACCATAAAGCAGCCTAGTTCACTCTTCTCTGCTCAGCAGCAGCAGAACCCCGTATAAAACAAGATCCTGGGCCAGCAAGACAGCTCAGAGGGTGAAGGTGCCTGTCGCCAAGCCCAACGATCGCAGTTTGATCCCCAGACAAAATAAACCAACGCTTGGAAGTATTTTCTGACCTCCACGAATGGGCTGTGGCATGTAGGTGACCCAAACACACAGCAAATAAATGTAAAAAATACAAATAATATCCAACAAGAAAACTAGGCTCAGAATGTTCTCTTGGATTCAGAGCATCACGCTGCCAATGGTGCAGGGATGTCACCCTCACTCCCTGTGACAAAGAGGCCGGGACGGCAAGGTTTAAAGAGTGGTGTAGCACTGACTGAATGCTCACTGTGGCTGATCATGAAGGCGTATTTCCTGTTTCAGTTTTAGACGCGGACTGGACACCGCAGTGAGGTGCCCTTAGATTCATCGCTCTTAGTGTAGCCTTCAGATTTCGTCAGAGAAGTTCCTTTGGGCAGTGGACGGCGGTTAAAGCAGTACCACAACTGGTCAAAGGACAGAGAGTTTGTATCTGCAGAGAGCTCAGCCACAAATGGGACATTTCTACACGCCCCTGCTCCCAAGCCGCAGAGCCCATCACGGAGCAGGGGCTTAAGAGACTGAACGACTGAACGAGCCAGAGTCAGCGTCCCGGTGTGGACCGGAAGGAGTTATGGGCAGTTAACAGCTGCTGGAAGGGGCAGTACCGTTTTTAAAAAGTAGGCTGACCATGCCCCAGTGAATGGCCCCACACCCACGAGCACATGGGCCGTATAAACTGTGCCCAGTGGATTCTAAAAGACAAAAAAGTCAAGAAGCTGGCGATTGGGAGGTGAACACAGAGGCCGTTAGGGGTGGGTACGATCAAAGCGGGCTGTGTCGGTGTGTGAAATTCGAGACCAAATGTCCTGTACTTTTAAAGAAAGGGACATTGTGCTTTTCACGGCCCCAGCTTAGCCCCAGAACTGGTCTTGCTCGTTGTCAGCGGGGACTCTCACTCCTCTCCTCTCCTGGCCAAGATCCCCTTGCACTTGAGAGTGAGTGAGGCTGAGGTGCTGAGAGACCCCACAGTTTGCACCCACGTGATCCCTCCACCATGTCTGCTGACCGTGAGGCTGACCATGCTGCCCTCCTGAGGTCTCTGGCGGCAGACTCTCGAGGGGGACATTTACACAGTTCCAGGTGTTGAGCTGGTGAGCTTTCCCACTTGGTATAAGATTTCTCTCTGGGGTTTCGTGTACAGTGAGGACTTCTGCCAGTCACCGAGGGGACCAAGCTGCCCAAGGTGGTAACTTGTTGTTTATGATTATTATAGTCACTGGAGATCAAAACAGCAAAGCCGCCACAATAGTTAGCTATAGAAGCTAGGTGATGGTGACACACACCTTTAATCCCAGGACTCAGGATTAAGAGGTGGACGACCTCTGTTAGTTCAACACCACACTGGCTACATGAAATTGATCCAATCATAAAAGACAGCTCACACAAAGGTGATGTCAGCACTTGGGATCCCACGCCTTTAATCCCAGCACTAGGGGGTAGAGACACGAAGATATGGCTGGCTAGAGAAAGGAATAAAAGGAGGAGGAGACAGGAATTCAGAGCCTTTTGTCCCTGAGGATTTGTGGGGACAGGACTGCCATTTCAGCTGGGTAGAGGTAAGAGCTACTGGCTTGGCTGCTTTGCTTTTCTGATCTTCAGTTTGAGGCTTGAACCCCAGTCTCAGCCTCGGGGTCTTTCATTTGTCGTGTTGCAACAGACCGATGGGCAGGCACAACACTCTGCCACTGCGCCCACCCTGAAGCCTGTCTAGCTCCGGGGTTTCTGTGTCACACTCTTCACACTCCAAATGTGGCTCTGGGACAGTTCTGTTTCTGTATCCACTGCTGCCCAAAGCAAGGAACTCAAGTCTGTAACAGTACAAGAGCTGCCTCTGCCTCTGCCTCTGCCTCTGCCTCTGCCTCTGCCTCTGCCTCTGCCTCTGCCTCTGCCTCTGCCTCTGCCTCTGAGGAAGGAGCAGTGCCAACTGTAACCTCGGACATGGATTCAAAGGAGGAAAGTTCTGTCTTGTTCACGGTTCCAGAGGCTTCTGTCTCTAGGAAGCACCTGATAGAGTAGCCCCACCATGGTTGGCAGGGCACAGACTACAGGCCAGAATGTGATAGAAATCTCCACAGTTGCACCGCGTTGCAATGGTCTTTCTAAGTTTTTAAGTCATCAATGGATTAGGCTGTCCATTGTGTCACAGGCCCTGTGACCTGATTGTCTCTGGAAACAAACACCCTCACAGACACACGGAGGCAGGCTTCACTAACTTCAACCCAACCAAGCTGATCACCAAGATTAGCCTTCGCAGGAGACACGCGTAGGGCATGGCAACCCCCTACAAATCCCACACATCTTCCTCTCCCTTTCCTCTCCTGCCTCTGCCGCTGCCGCTAGACCCCCTCTAGCATTCTGAGCAATTCCTCCAACCTTGTACATGGCACTCACCACGCAGCTCTTGACACCTGGCCCCCACCTATGATTGGTAACACGCCCACCTCTATTCAAGTGCCAGTGCAAGAGATGTGAGTGAGAGTCCTCTAGGAGCCCACTGGGAGCCTCCCCAGCCCTCCATACCACTAGGGGGCACCACACCAGTATATGGTGTTTGCTTGAACACCACAGACACCCCAGGAAACACAAGCGGCCCCCTGACCAGAGTGTGGGTCTGAGGCTTTTCCCACATAGACACACGGTTGGCAGGCATATCTGAAATGACTGAGGGACGCTCATCCCTCACCATGAGCCACCGCTGAGCTCTGCAGGTTAGGGCACTGGTAAGAAGGGAACTTTCTTTGGCTGGCGACACTCCTGCCCGCTTTCCAGCCCCTTCTCGGATCAGCAGGGTCTGAGAAGACTCTTCACAAAGACAGACAATGCTGGGTTCCATCCATTCTCCTCACACAGGAACCACAGAGCAAAGATTTGATCTCATGGGCGGTGCTAATTTAAGGTACACGTCCTCTGTCGGGGAAAGGAAGCTAAGCTCTTCTGAGTTCGGGGGAAGGCAACTGCATGATTGTGAGGAGGGTCACGCTGGAGGCTTACACACCAGTGTGGCAGAGCCGTTCACCCTCCACAAGCCAACCTCAGACCAGGTGGTGTCCTATGCTACAAAGTAGGCATCATCCGGGCAGTGTGGAACGTGCCTATAACCCAGCACTCAGGGGGCTGAGGCAGGAGGATCACAATAGTGGAGCCAACCGTCTACAGAGTAAGACTCTAGTCAAAGAGAGGGAGGGGGAGGGAGAAGGGGGGAGGAGAGGAGGGAGGGGGAGGGAGGGGGAAGAAAGGAAGAATAAAAAGCTCACATTGCTTAATTCAACAGAAATAAAAATGCAAACTACAATTGAAGGACGATCTAGAGACTCCAGCTACTCTCGCTTGCAGAGTGTGACATCCTGTGTGGGTCTGAGGGCAGAGGTCTGATGAGGTTAAGAACAAGACAAAGGACACACAGTCTGTGGGGACAGAGTCTAGGCTAGAGAGAGAACCATACAATTCACCCAAACACTTTAAAACTTGAAATGCTCACTTGAATTCCAAGAGACACACTTGCATTCTTACCAGAATCACTTCGAAAATGAGCGGGACCAGTTTGCTTTCTTCCACAAGCCTGTGAGGGGAGGAGAAGGGGGGTGAGTACATGTGAGATAATTTAAATTGCTATCCTAATAGGGTGGCGCGAAGCCCCCATGTCTAACCGCTCAGACTCTGATGGGGAAATAGTCTTGCAAATAAATACATGATGACTTTAACACACAGAACGCCAGCGATTACACACAAGAAACATGAGGCATCTTCATGATAATCATCAGCTCAGCTATTTTAATGTGAAAATTAATTAAAATTCACAATTATTATAAAGTCAACCAACCAAGGTAATGCTGAGTGAAATAATGTAACCGGTCCGCACTGCATGCAGAACCGCTGGCATGTGATACCATCATTTTTTATCTCTGCCTCGTTAGCTGTCTTCCCGGCATAAATAAATTAATGCACAATGAATTTTAATGGTCTTTAATTTTTAAAAAATTGGACACCAATCACCCAATCTACTCTAGGCACTTTCTCTCGTCAAATCTGGTTATAAATTATCATCAGTTACAACAGAATAATTATTTCATGAGATTTCAGACAAAGTTGCCAGATGAAACCAGAACCATCCAAGTCAGTCAGGGTTTACGAAGCTTGATAATCTGGGACTGGGGACACAGTTCAGTGGTAGAAATCTCACCCCAGGGCTACAAAAGGTAATTTTCAAGAAACACAACAAAACATTATTTCTATTTCTAAACACCCTTTTGGTCCAAGGCAGAGCGGATGCTTCTCCAGTGACAGGCCAGGCAGTAAATATTGGACCCTGCAGCCTCCCGGTCCCCATAGCAACCACAGCTCAGTCAGAGTCACAAGACAGCAGCCGTGAGTGATGCTGAAATAAACAGGCTGCGTACCAATAAAACTTTATTCTCCAAATGCACCACTCTGGGGCCACAGGCCACAGCTCTACTTCGGCTAATAGTGATCATGTTTGGCTGCTGGGGAGATGGCTCAGTGGTTAAGAGCACATACGGCTCTTGCAGAATTTCTAAGTTCAGTTCCCAGCACCCATACTAGGAGGTTCACAACGGCATTTAACTCCAACTTCAGGGGATCCAATGTTCTGTGTAAGAATCTACACAAGCATCTACACACACACACACACACACACACAATTTTAAAATATTACAAATAAATCTCAAAAAAACATGTTCTTTTTTAAATGTCTTGTTAGAATCACTTCTGTGGGATAAGTCAAGCACCTCTGTTGTAGATAACACGATACACACCGTCTGTGTCACAGACAGTGCCAGGCAGATAGAAACAGGGCTGCAGCATCGGCCCCCCCCCCGGGAGTTTGTCTGTCTGCGATAATACACAGACACAGGAAATGCCTGTGACACTAACAAGAAGGCATGAGAGCAGCCGTGAGTGAGCAATCGTGAGTGACACTGAGGGGACCGGCTGTGTCTGGCGGCGTGCCTGGCCCCCCCCCGTTCTTGCTCCTTTTTCCTCTCAGATTTCCCCTCCCGTTTATTCTCTCTGCCTTCCCTTCCCTTCCCTGCCTAGCTATTGGCCATTCAGCTCTCTATTGGGTGTTTCAGGCGGGCAGAGTAACATAGTTCAGAGTTAAACAAATGCAACATAAAAGGATAAGACATCTTTGTATTACTAAACAAATGTTCCACAGCATAAACAAATGTAACACATCTTAAAACAATATTCCACAGCACAGATGGAATCTAACAAGTCAAACTCAAGGACGCAGAGCAGGGGCCAGGCCAACCAACCACCTCTGGCTGGATGTGAGGCCAGCTTCCCATGAGGAAATTCTCGCCTGGCACTGTGACCCTGGTCAAGAGCACCTGGCTGGGGTGCCCGTGGCCCGGGAAGGGGTCATGCAGGCAGCACGATCAGACTCATGCGTCATACAAAACCAGGAGGGGACGTAAGGGGAGGGGGAGGGTTTGGGGTATCCAGGAGTAGGAGGGGGGAGCTGGGGCAGACATGATCAAGATACATTACACACATGCAATTACCATGCAGAAGAAAACCCTCAATTAAAAAAGTTCCTAAAATTAATCATTCGCCCTTAAGTTGCTTCCATCAGGTGCCACGGCGGCGATGAGAGGAGAAGCAAAGGCCTGGAGCCATGACCCAACTCCATGCAGAGGGACACGTCTTTCCCCCACCATGTCTCTGTCTCAGACATCTGCACATCCAGCGGGACACGCCCCCCATGCCTCTGTCTCAGATATCTGCACATCCAGCGGGACACGCCCCCTACCCCCCATGTCTCTGTCTCAGACATCTGCACATCCAGAAGGACATGCCCCCCCATGTCTCTGTCTCAGACATCTGCACATCCAGAGGGACATGCCCCCCCCATGTCTCTGTCTCAGACATCTGCACATCCAGAGGGACACATCTTCCCCCCACGTCCCTGTCTCAGACATCTGCACCGTCACCAAGGCCAGTCCTCGCCTCTCGACTCTAGACAGGGTAGTGACTGCTTTGACTCATGAGGTGGCACGGTACTGACCATCTGCAATTTCTGCTTCTGTCCAGGATTTCTTTATAACGATGTCACTGTTATGGTGTTTTAGGGAAACATGTAAGTTCATAGGCTCTGTGTGGGCCGGAAATCTGGACCAAGAGCACAAGGGAAGCCTTGCCTTAGGTCCCAGTGACTGAGGCCACAGCTGGGGGGGTGGGGGATGGGTGCCGAGGAGAGCTGAGGGTATGGGAAGGAACCCCACTCACAAGTCTCGCACCTGAAGCCAGAATCAAGGTGCTCTGGTTTAGAGGCTGGGTGCATGGACTCTCTGCAGGGGGACTCAGATCCCCCATATGCTTGCTGGCGACCAGCCGAAGACTCCCTGTAAGTTCCTACTCTAACTGGGGTTTAATTTAGAGTCAGAGCCTGGGCCCACACAGTTCCAATAAGCTAAGTTCAGCCATGCCTCCCCTATGCCAATCAAACAGATAATAAATAGTGAGAGGCAGAAAAGGGTGATTTATTCAATGTGGCCACAATGTAAAGAGGAGCAAATAAAGGGGTCCAGTGACCCCCAAGTCCATCTCCAGGTCTGACCTGAGGCCTGGGTTTAAATAGATGGCACGCGGTATGCAGAGCTAAGGAGTCTGGTCAGGGTGTGGTCCTGCCCATCATCACCGTCCGGGCTCGCCTCTCCTGCAGGGTGGTCTGGCAAGTTGCGGAACTGTGTGCCATCTCTTGCTGGAGGCAAGTTCAAGTCTCTCCTCTGGCTGGCATCTGGGCTTCAACCTTTCCCTCCCCTACACCCCCCCACCGGTGCCACCCCTGGGATCTCTGGCGAAGTGTTATACCTGGGCTCCACTGTCTCCAAAAGTCTGGCAGCACACATGTCTCTCTAGAGATATCTTCCAAGAGTTACCCCAGTCCTGCAAAAGTGGTCCCCCTCCATCTTCCAAGCAGTAAAGGATGCATTCACGTGTGTCCAGTCCTTTGCAAGCTTCAAACCTCACTGACCTGAACCTGACCCTAAACTAGACCAGATTTGGAGGGTCTGTGACCTTCTCTGTATTTTAAGGTCATTTAATTAGGACTCTTACTTGCTGTTGCAGTAACCCTATACAATAGCATTAAATTACTGTGTAAATGAAAACCTGGACAGGGGGCATCTTCCAGAGACTGGGAAGCTCCAGGTCTGTCCTGGAGAGCTGTGCATCTCACACGGGACTATACCCCACCACACCTCCATCTCCTTGTAAAAGAACGATTCTAAGTTTCTCCTCTGGAGGAGCTGCTTCTAGCCCAGCTGCAAGCATCCCGAGCTGGGGGCTCACACCCCGAGCTGGGGGCTCACACCCCGAGCTGGGGGCTCACACCAAGCTAGAGACGCACTTTGCTTAACATTCCAATAGCATCGGTTAGAAGTTTTAGATTTCATATTTATTCGACTGAAGGAGTAGTAAACTATAAACAAAACTTTTTGTTTACATAATTTACCAGTCTAGTGGGCCAGTGACAGTCATTTTAAATTAAAAATCTCCACCATCAAGACGCATGTCAAATTATCTCTTCAGTGAGTCAGCTTCAAAAAGAAATGGCTTCTTAACGTTGTTACTGGGCCATATGCCACCTACCCTGAAAGCGATAACATTTGCGGCTTTTCTCCCTCAAACATCTTCCCTTCCTCGACAAGCTGCTTAATACATTTGCAGGACAGTTCTTCCTGGAGGAAGTTCACACCCCAGCGGGCGCGCGCACACACACACACACAGCTGAAAGGCCCCACCCTCTGAGAAAACCTTGGAGCTCAGTTACAGCACCAGTCTACGCCAGGATACGCGTTCCATGCAGAGATCTTCCACTGCCAAGATGGTGGAAAGAACAATGATCACAAGACGAAGTTTGGTCAGGTTAAAAGTGTCTTCCGGAAGGAAGGACACTCGAGGGGAAACAGGAATTCTGTTACACTAACAACATAGTACAAATGCCGGCACCTGGCGCAGCCCTGGGGTGACCCGCGTCTGCTGAGTTGAGGCTGCTCCCTCATAGCACGCACTGAAGGGGAGGGGGGAGCTGCAGTCAAGACAGCTTCCACACATCGGGCAGTACGCTCATACAGGCACCCCTGGTCACCCCTGGACACCAAATGCCACGGTACACCTTTGGGCTCTTCGTGAATTGTCCCCGCACAGGCCATTGGCTGAGGGCCCTGGTTCGCCGGTCACACGCCCTGCCACACTGTGCTCTGTCTACGTCCAATGCCACACTCCATGAGCTCCACCCTTATCCTCTTTATGGACCGCGCTCTGCAGCAGGCAACCTTCCCTGATGACTGTGACTCCGTTACAGTCTCTGCAGCAGGGACTGTGCTCCCAGGAAACACAGGCATGGTCACCCAAGCCCCCGGGTAAGAAGGCACTAAACAGACACACAGCATCGGCAAGATTAAGGAGCAGCAGGGGCAAGGACCAGGGGCGAGTCCCCAAGCTGTACACACTGCCAGCAATTTCCCCTCGCCTCTAGGTACGAACCCAGCAACCATGAACAAGCAACTGTAACTGAGATAATGAACGTCTCCCAAC